TTCACTGAAGAAATTAAAATATTTTGTATTTCATTGAAATCTGTGAGAACTTGGACTTCATATATTTAATTTAATTCTCGGTCTGATTTGATACATATAATAAAATGAACCCAGCTAAACTCTCAATAATAGCTAGTGCTTGTGTTTTCTATATTAATCCATGAATTGTCAAAAAAATAATATTAATCCATTACTACATTTGATTTCATCGCACATAAACATGTACAAATATATTTGAAATCCAGTGAAGTAAATTCGCACTTCCTGGAGATGAAGGCCTGACACGTAGGTCTTGTTAATGCATTATGGATCAAATCCTCTCCCGTATTCTCACATAATACACAGAATTACGGAACAATTTTATTGTTAATGGCGTTTCACACGTCACCTCCTACCCATGCGAAAAGGGACAAAATCGCTTCTCAAGGCCATGGAGGAGTCGCTTTTAGAAAGCCCTGCTGTACAGGCATAAATTATGCAATTCAAATGAATGGATTTGCTTTTTACTTTGCATACATTTGGCGCCAAAAGAAATTGATCTTTGTTAAATTCATGGAATGATAAACTAGGTTTCCATGAGACAACACGGTTTACAAAAGAAGAAATTTCCTTTTATCTTACTTTTTATATCTCCCTAACGTTTTAGGAAGAAATCATTGTTGAATTACACGTCATTGAATTCATTATTTAAGCAGTATTTACATGCACGAAACGAAAAGTCAAGGTCGATTCTATAGGTGGCAATCGGCAACAACCCCACTTGTGAAGGGGGTGATAGTTGTTATTTCTTGCCAAAAATTCTCCGATATAATTTAATGTAATGTAAACTTTACATTGGCAAGAAATCTCAAAATAACCAGTTCCGTATATTAAAAAAAAATATATATTCAACAAAAAAAACCCACACTTGGTATGTGCGTGTGTGGGGGGGAGGGGGGGGTCTTTTTCGCACAAAGTTTTAATGTTCATTGAAAGGCCAACCTCCCCCTCCTCCGCTTTTTTTCTGTACATGTAGTATTTCCAAATCCTGCCATATTATTGTATTTATTTTTTTATTGTCAAAAAGTTGAAAACCCCCCTCCCCCGGGTCTCCCCTCACCTGCACACACAGACACGAAATAGAATTTTGGAGTTCTATTTAGTGTCTTTTGTTTATGTATTTGGAGATGAGTTAATTTGGTATTCACAATAATTCTTACAATGTGTAGTTTTTGCAGGGGTAAAACTGCTTTTTTGATTTTTTTTTTTTAAATTTCTAATCTCTGACAACTTCATCTATATGTCTCTGTTTGAAAATCACATGTATATATCTAACATGTGCAATTTCTATTCAAAGTTGTTTCAATTATATATATATATATATATATATATATATATATATATATATATATATATATATATATATATATATATATATCCCATGTTTACCCCTTTATCCCGTGGATATGACTCATTGGATAATTTTTTCATATTCCACACTTCAGTGCAGTTGTGACGTCACAATGGTTTTTGCGTTAGAGTGATGAAGTAAAATAAAGTGGAGTCCTGTATAAAACAGTGTAAAACATTGGTTGTGAAGTATTAAACATGGGATAAAAAGAATCTCCCATGATTTGTAGTTGGATATGACTTTTATCCAACTCGTTGTGTGTTTTTTATCCCCTCGCCAAGGCTCGGGGATAAAAAACACACAACTCGTTGGATAAAAATCATATCCAACTACAAATCATGGGAGATCCTATATATATACATTGTATAAACAACTTTAAATAGAAATTGCATATGATTGGTATATATATGTGATTTTCAAACAGAGACGTATAGATGAAGTTGTCAAAGAATATAATTTTTTTAAAATATTGAGGGGGAGAGGAGGGACAATCCCGTCCACGATACTTGTGGTAATATATTGTGGACTTAAATATACAATTCAGTGTAAAACATGTGAAAGCTATGTTTAAAACATGTGATAAAAAGAATCTTCTATGGTTTGTGGTAAGATATGACTTTTTTTTATCCAACTCGTTGTGTTATTATCTCCTCGCAAAGGCTCGGGGATAAAATCGATAAAAAGAAATCATATCCAACAACAAACCATGAGATCTTATACAATATATATTTATACAACAGCATTAATACATGTAGTACTTTTTTTTTTTTAGATTTAATAATTTAGAACAGAGCTCGAGATTTAAAAATTAAAAATTTAAAGAAAATTTTCTCGTGTAAACACCTTCATCTGTGACAAGTCACCTTAAAAAAAAGATAAAGAAGAGGAATATATCTGAGCTGTTAAACAGAAAAACTTGACATCATAGATAGAGTTACTATTGATATAAATCTATTATTATGTGATGACGTTTATTTGCCTTTACAGATAAATAATAGTATTTTTGCTGCTGTTCATAAATTTATTGACGAAACCTGTAGATTCTCTAGTTGATATGTTATTTATTTGCTTTTTCATTTGTATCAATTGTTTTATCTTTCTTTGATATGCATGAATATATAAGGAAAGGAACTAAGTAAGTTATATAGAACCTGTTTCCCATCCTTTTGATGAATTCAATGAAATATGATCAAAACAATAGAAAGAGACAAATGAACTTTACTAGTGACGCTAGTTCGACCACTGCAATATATCAGTGAATTAATACGATTTTATTTCAAGCGGAGATACATGTAGTAACTTCATGTTATTTTCTATATGTATATATATATAGCAGAATTTAAGTGTAGCGGATTGATTTGGGGTTTTTTTCTTTATTCGTCGATGGTCCCTTCTTATCATCATACAATTTAGAATTTTTAAGTCTGGCTTTATTATATAAACTCCTCTGATTAGAAACAAAAAAAAAATAAAATAAGAAATCCCGATTTTTTAAAACTCACTTGAGGGTATTCAACCTTTTTCTGTCCATCAATCAAATTTTATTGATGGAATCAGTAGAGTATCCGCAGACTTAGTCCAGACGCCATTTTCCGTCCAAGCCGTGATTTACCGAATCTTTGGCAATAATTCATGGCAACACCGTCCTATCGTCATCTTTATCAGTTCGACAGAGCAGCGCCGACGCCAGTTTATAAAGATGATAAACATTTATTACAGGCCGGCTGTAAGGACCTAATAGTCCATGTTCATATTTTCTTTAAATAAAACGCGTAAATATGTCTTATCAGACTCCATCGAAATGTTAGAGTCGTGAAAGTGTCAAGTAATTAAATAATGGTGAACATGTTTTGAAAGGAGAATCTGAATGAACTGACTTGATTATCGCAATGAAGAAAGTAATGGAGATAAACTCTAAAGAGTAAATTATAATGTTCAAATAAATTTGAACGAATGGATGTCCCAATCGATGTCTATTTATCAAGTATTTTTTGTTTGTTTGTTGTTTTTTTTAAATAATTTTTAATTTATTTTGTTTTTAAAAGACATATGGAAATAGAAGTATTTCGTGTCTGATCAGTTGATTTTTAAATCAATTTTTTAAAATCATTTTTTATTCTCTCAAAACAGATCACTGGTACAAGAGTAACATACATACATACATGTATATACAGTGTACAAAAAAAATAACACTGAATTAATGAAACATGTATATTTAACTGCTGGGAAAAATTATCTGATTTTATACCAGTGATTAAATTAATTAAAGTTAGCTGAATGTCAAATACTCGAACATACATGTAATATTACATTTTACATAAAAAAAAAAAAAAAAAAAAAAAAAAAAAAAAAAAATCCGTAAGAGCAACCCAAAACATAGAAAATGCCTGACTCAAACACTATATACAGGGTGTCCCAAAATATATGATAGCATTTGAAATACCTGCCACAAACACATCCCTAGGCTAATTTCTTTATTTGTCTCTAAAATTATATGAATAAGTACAATTTTTAGCAACAAAATATTCCAACAAAAAATCTTACACATATGAAATTGCAACGTATCAAATTTACATCAAACTTTTGCAAAAAGCTGCAATTTCAATCAAAATGGATTATCAAAAGAGCTAGCTATTCTCATCTTGAAACTGTAATTATCAATCTTAGACTTAGCTGCTAAACCCAAACCAGAATCCTTAACATATATAAAAGGTTTACCTCTGATGAAAATCCAGAAGTTACTACCGAGGCAGGCACTGTTGTCTCAAGTTAAGGAACTTTGTGCAATGTGTAGACATTATCATTATACAGATAGAACGTCATTTAGAGGGCATCATTTAAAAACCATAGCATTTTTCAAAGTGAACTCATTTTGTTGTTTTCTTTTTAATGACTCAAATTATGTGAGTAAAATTGGACAATATATGCGATGTTTATAATTCATTTATTGTAATCCAATCTTTATTACAATAGGTTTCACAGAATCTTGAAATGGTATCATATATTCTGGGACACCCTGTATATATATATATATATATATATATATATATATATATATATATATATATATATATATATATATATATATATATATAACTGAAATGAAATTAAAAAATTCAAGAAAGTTTAAATGAATAAATATTGATATAATTAAGAAAAAAAGAGAGAAAAAATCTTGGGATAGAAAAATAAAATAATTAATCACATTCACATAATTGAGTATTGTTTTACTATTTCTCTTTTTAAATTGACATGATAATAGACTAAACTTAAATAAAGTTGACTACAATTTAAAGTCTTTCAAATGTTTTACCATTAACATTTGAAAACAAAAACACACAAACACACACACAACACTGACAGAAATTAAAATATTTATCCAGTAAGCGTGAAAAGAATTAAAAGTACTAGGATAAATTAGCACCAAATTTGTCCAGAAGGCACAGCGAAATGCGAGATAACCGGGGTTGAAATCTCGGCGGCCAATGAAAAAGAAAGACGTAGCTGTTAAATTCCTTCTCATTCAAACGTTTTACTGTAATCAAAGGAAACAATTTAAAAACTCTGTGCGTGCTCAAACGCGGATGGTAAACAAACCCGTAAAAACATGCTTTCCATTGCAGACGATTGACAGAAAGTGAAAGAAGCCATGGCTGTGGCAAGGTGCGTCGTCCTTCTGCCGCTGTTATCACAGGTGCTTGTTCAAATTCAGGGGAATTCGCGAGACCTGTTAGACGAAATGTTACAGGATGGGGAAGCGGGTAACATGGAAGGGATGTTTGACAAAGTTGGAGACATGTTAGGGGAACTTGTCGATTCATTAGACACCATCAACAGTCCATGCAAATTTAAGTGTCCAAACGGTATGTCAAAATCTGTCCTTTTCCCGTAACTTAATTTGTCTGTAAAGTCATTCACACGACATTTTAAATTCACTATTCATCTATAAAGAATGTAAAAAGAACAACATTGTTTCCAATATATATCAATTATTTATTATCATGATAGTAAAATTATTTAGAGAGTGTATGACCATTTGAAAAGCACTGTAGTATACGTATAAAGCTCAAATTAGTCATATAAATGACGACATACCAGTGAGTCCTACGGTCGAATTGAAAACCTTTATGCCCAACTATTCTTTCAGAAATGGCTCAGTCAAGTCATAATGCAAGTTAAATTTAAAAAAAAAAAGCAGGAAGGACACTATATAGGCTATGGTCATATATATTTTGTCCAAAAGTAGGCTACCATTGAAATAGGAAGAAAAAAATACAAGAGTATGAAGTGATTTAAATAGTTTGTACTGTAAACTGCATGGTAAGTTATTGACAGTATGAGTGGACAAAATTTTAAGTAGGCAAGATGCAATAATCGGTATCAAGTGATGTGTGTATCTTGTTACTTTAATGGAGATTCTTTTTTTCATTTAACTCGTACACGCTATGCTTCCATGAACACATATTATGACTATGAATTGTATATTTAAACATTTTAAAATTCTTTTGTAGGAGTGATACCAAAAGAACGAAAAAATCACATTCGATCAAGTAACGGATGCGGAACATTTGGGATAGAGGTTATTTCTTGTCTTTTTCTAAGACTGCAGGAGTTACAATACTTTATTAGAACATCATTCAGTGCTGGCAATCTGAAGAATATATATTTATGTCTACATCTGAATCATTATATGAATGTAAATCTGTTTTCATTGATTGTGAATATATATATATATATATATATATATATATATATATATATATATATATATGAAAGATGAAACAAAACCTATGAATCAGCAATGATGCAGTGTTCATCTCGTCGTTTATTAATTTTCATTCTAAAGTTGAAAATGATTGTACATGAAAGTTTTGTAATTATTTTCAACTCTAGATTGAAATTCATTAACGACAATACCATATCAAAGGTTTTTAAAAAATGTGAAATTGGAATTTAATTTTTGTGTTATTTTTGTAGATTGATACCTCATCTGTTCCTCTAATGACTTCATGTTGTGACGACCACGATTTCTGCTACGACAAATGTAACAACGACAAAGAGAAATGTGACAATGATTTCAAAACGTGTCTACTTAACATGTGTAAAAAGATGAAGAATGGGCTCAAGAGCGATGAATACGAGGGTAAGTGTAAAAAAAAAAAATGTAATAATTGATGGATAAAGTGTCAAAAAATTACTACTGGGTCTAGGGGTTCCTGATAAATTATATACAGGGTAAATGTCCAAAAATACAACTTAATTTGGGAGTATCTGATGAATAAAAGCCGCGTATATTATTTTATCTGAAACAGATTTTCTTGTTATAAAAATTATCGATCACCGTATCTTTAATCATATGATTTTACACTAATAGTGTTCCTAACTGCTTGTCATATCAACCAAAGTTTAATGTTTAATAACATACGATAATTTCCTTAAATTTTCCACTGGCAAATGCTGACAGACATTCAGTGGAAAAAGCACATTAGATGTTTATTTTTCAATTTGACCATTTCGTGTATTTGCTGACGCAAACATTTTAGAAAAAAGTTAAAAGAATAACGGAAAGCAACAGATCATATAGATTAGACAAGTATCAAATATTTAAAACATAATGACTTTGTTAGTCTTCTACTGCACCCTAGTGGTATGTTTTAGGATGTAAGGCCACTGCAGAGTTGATGTTTACCGGAACAAATATGTTAGGCTGCAATTCCTACAAAGAGGCTCAGGCAAAAGCTTGTGACTGCGGTAATATAGACCAAGATACCCTTAAGGAAGACAAAGTGCAAGCGAACACAGGAAAATCGACTTTGACCCATGAACGAAAAATCGTAAATGCTGAACCCATACCAGGGACAGAAAATGCCAGTGCTAGAAAATCCAAAAAATCATCCGAATCAGAAACTTTATTAAAGGCCACTAAGCTAAAACAAGAGGGAGTGCATCGACACGATGACTTGTGAATACAGTTTAGTTATCATTCCATACTTTTATTCTTCGGTTCTTGGTATGAAAGTGATAAAATTGCAGTAGTATTGCAGAAACAATACCCTGTCTGAAATCTTAATCTCCAAGTGTGACTAGTAAATCAAGAGGACCCATGAAGAGAATTACATGTACTTGTGACTTTTGGTGTGCAAGATACCATTTTATAAAGAGAAACACCTTGAGTAATTGTTCTTGATAAAATCTCCAAATTTATATATAAGTATTTTATAAAATATGGAACCAAACCTCAGAATAGTGTTTTAAGCTGATAGCTGTTTTTATTGCACTGACTACCTTTGTAGTGCTCGCAGGGCAAGAGAAAAGAGCACTCTTAGTACCTTATACTTATATCTAATTGAAATACAATGTATTGACTATTGGTAACAATTTCTTGATTGATAAAGTTTAATACTTCTTTAATTCATTGAGCAAGCCATGGATTTTCATTCATTTCTGCATTTACAGGTGGATTTACAACATATTTATTGGAATAAATTACGCATAATTATGTAGAACAAATTACGCATAATTGCATACATGTACAAAACAGAGGTATTACGCGTACATTGTTTGTTTTCTCAGTGTTTATTATCTTGAGTTATCATTAAATTTTGACATCATGCTCAACGCAAACTTCTTGGTGTCATATATAAACAGGAAACAACTTTTTATCTGTTCTCTCATTGTTCCGTCCAGTTATAGAATTCCAGATTTTTTCTCTTTTATTGCAAAATGTTTTGTTAATAATTGATCTTCCAATATCCTTTGGATTGTTACTTTATTTTTAATTGTACTTACAATTGTTTCACATAAATAAAAAAAAGTATAGAAGCTGAGAGATTTTGTTAAACAACGTTTCATTTGCAGCTTGTGGTAATATGAAACTTGACTATTGTATTTTTTTTAAATGGGTATATCGTGGAAGGCATTAAGAGAGGGATGTAGTTTCTTGTTTCAACCTTTGTACTTGTCTTACGATTCATTAACTGAGTCTTGCGTAGGAAAAATCCAGTTAAGGTAATGGTGAAAATGGCGGGTGGTCTACAGTTTAGAAAGTTTTTATAAAAGCAATCGTCTCAAGCCACGGTTCGGAGTCCGCATATAGCTCTCTCCTAATTTTGGCCGTGGTTTGCGACGATGTATAAAAGATGACTTTCACATTTACAAGAGTTATTTCCCTTTCCGGAGTCAATCTAGGGTCTGCCGGCGTAAGGTGCCGTTTCCCTCTAAAACATAACCAACTTCATGGGGCACTATCTGATACATGTAAATAAAATCTTTATGTGTACGTTCATCTTGTTTTCTTTGTTGCCCCATATTTTGCTAACAATTGTATGGTATAAAATTGTCCAGAGACATTTAGATATTTAAAATTTTGTACAGGTAAGTTACAAAGGATATATTGAGAAAAAGGTAAAGCAAGTTAATGAAAATATTTTCCACAAGTATGTTGTCGACTTGCAGTTGGTACAGAACACCTGTCAATCGCATCATCTCGGGTCTTTCCGTCGGAGGTCGGAAAAACAACCTCGAATGTATTAACATTACTGGATGCTAAAAATTTATACAAGATGGAGTCGCTCCCTATTTATTAAAGCGCTGGAAAGACAGAGTTAAAAGTCACTCCTGTAGTATATTTTAGGTAATATCTTTACATTCAATAAAGCTGAGCTCCAAACTCTACAGATAAGAGGTCTCCCTACATTCATTTCAAAGTTTATGAGAAGGGAGGTTGTCATGGACGCCTACGTAACACATTCGAGGTTGTTTTTCCGCTTGTTTGAAAGGTCCGAGAAGTTTCGATTGGAACACCTGTATTTTGATTTGTATTATTAAACAAAAAAATAGTCCTTTTTTAGCTCTACTGGTCAGAGACCAGAAGAGCTTATGCGATATTAAGGTGTCCATCGTTGTCTGTCTGTTTGTTTGTCTATGAACAATTTTTCAAAGCGCTTCTGTTCCTACAGTTTTAATCCGATTTCAATATAACGTGGAACACTAGTAGACTACACTAAGATACATAATTCTGTTTATCGGTTTTTGATCTCAATGAACAGTGTTGTCATGGTTACTAAAAATAGAAATTTCAATGAAATTCTTTTAAAAATGCTACTCCTCCTAGCGACAGTTTTGATTTGATTACAGTATAACTTGGTACACAAGTAGACTATACTACATAATTCTATGTGTCGGTTTTTGGATTTCAATGAACGGGTTGTCATAGTTACAAAAAAATAAAAATTTCTGTGAAATTCTTTCAAAATGCTAGTCATCCTACAGTTCAGTTCAATTTCAATATAACTTGGTACACAAGTAGACTTAATTAAGATTCATAATCTGCATATCGGCTTCAGAATTTGTTCCCATGGTTACTGAAATAGAAATGTCTATGAAGTTCTTTCAAAATATTACTTCTACTAAAGTTTTTGTTCAATTGCAATTAAACTTGACTCAGAAAAAGACTAAACCAAAGATCATTATTTTATTTATTGCTGTTGTCATAGTTTCAAGTCCAAGTGCTACCTTCTCTACTTTTGTTAAATAAAAACCAGTAGAGCTACAGTCTCATCAGACACTTCTGGCAAAAGAAAACTTAGTTGCACTGAATTTCAAGGATCGGAAGAATGATATCCCACTCATCATAATCTATGGGATATATCCCATGCTTAACAATGTATGGGAGAAAATGTTTCAATGTCAATATCCGTGGGATTTATCCCATTTGAACAAATTTGTGGGAGATAAAATCCCAGTGGGAGAAAATATCCCATCTGACACTTTTTCTCCCATGGGAGAAAGGTGGGATAGTTGTTAGGACTAGAATTCCCACCATTCTCTCATGAGATTCCGACTTTTAGGACTTCATATCTTTCAAAAAAGAGAAGTTTGTGAGTTCAACAAGAGACCCTGTGATACAGTTAAGAAATCCCACCAAGTGCAATAATTTATTTTTGGACATCATGATCACAATTAGAAATGGAAGTAAAAAATCTGGACAATGTCGTGTCCGGAGTTAAATGTCGCACCGTTAACGACGTTTTTGAATTTCATAATCCTAACCCGCTAGGGCAATAAGGGATGGGGCCAAATCCATCATAATGAAATATGAAGATAACGAACAGTATTCAGTCTCGAAAGTCCAATGAAACGATACAAATTTGGAGCAGAGCAAACACGGACTTCAAAATTTAGAGGTGGGATCAGGTGCCATGAAGGAGTGAGCATCCCCTGCCGACCGGTCACACCCGCCGTGTGCCCCTTGTCATGATCGAAAAAAAATCCGGAAAAACCCGTAGACAGTTCAGTGTATAATTAATGGTCTAACAATTAGTATGAAAAAACGTCAGTGAGCTTTTGATCCAATGACAGGTTGTATGTGCTGACAAGGTCATTGTATCGACCATAGAACGAAATGATGACTTCAAAGGAGACTGTTGATATCCTTGTTTCATCAACTTGTTTTTCAATAGCTTGCCTTGTTTTAGAAATTGTTCATAAGTAGAGCATGCTCTTGCGTATCGAATCAACTGAGAGACATAAACCCCATATACAGGCGATGAGGGTATATTGCTACATAAGTAAGGGAAGTTGACGATTGAAAAGTTGAAGTCATCATGTTTTTCATTAAGCTTTGTTGTTAGGTTACCTTTAACGTCTTTTTCTGGTAAAATATCTAAATCTGAAACAGATGTGTCAGACTCTGTGGTATCTTTTATTTCAAGCTCACTGGGATATATCGAGTCGACATATGAATGGAAGTATCTGTTGTTAATTGACAATACGTCGTCGATATATCGAAATGCCGAGTTGAAGGCCACAGCAAGTGTTTTTTCTTCTCATGTAGGTTTTTGCATAACTTCTGCTTCATATGAATACGAAAAAAATATGTCTTCTAATAACAGGGCGCAATTGGTACCCATGGAATTTCCGACAGATTGTTGGAAGACCTGATCCCCAAAAATTATATAGATATTGTCAATCAGAAACTCAAGCATCTTTTTAATATCAACTTCAGAGTATTTGTGTGTACAATCAGAATGCTTTTTAACAAAATAATTTTGCAAATGACCAATGACAAAGTAAGTATATTTACTAGTTCCATTTTTTTTTTTTTGAAAAAGCAGCTGTCTATGATGCCAAAAAGCCTGGACTTCGATTTATCGTGGGAAATGGTTGTATAAAGTGTTGAAAAGTCGTACGTTTTGATGTTATTGATTTTAGTAAAATTTTGTGATTTCAAATTTTCTAAAAGTTCCTTGGAGTTTTTAAGTATTCATTCAATCCTCAAAAATTTTGTTCTTTACTGTTGGTCATTCAGCAGGCAACCCATTTGCCTGATACTACTGACCAATTCCTTCTCTACCAAAATTGTGGAAGTCGTGGTCCTTGGGTCCAATGTTAAACCCTGAGTAGGACTTAGTTTGTCATATATTGAAAAATACAACTTCGAAATTTTTCTTTATGAATGGATGAACATTTAGCTGTCTTCTTTTTGCATGATTACTAGACAAGTATAATGAGCAGCTAACCTTTTACCAAAATTGTAAAAACAATGGCAAAATATCTTCCAAGATAGAGGATGGGGCTACGTTGTTTATATATACTGAAATACAATTCTGAACATTATCTGAAATCAACAACTAGAAGGCAAATTGTTTGCATGAATATTATGAGCATTTAACTTCTACCAAAATTTGTGAACTTCATGTTCCCTTGATCCAGGCCCCCTAAGGGGACAAAGAAGATCATATATTGAAAATACTTTAAAGTTTTGATAATCTTCTTTACTGATGAAAAAACTGTGTATGATTTTTAAAAAAGCCCTCTTTTAAAATCCTGAAACTCCATGTTTCAGGTCCCAAGGAAGGGACGTTGTTCATGTAAAATGTACCTTTGAAAATTTTATTTATTACTGAACATTTCAGCAAGCAAACTGCATGCATGATGACAGTAAGCTGTTGTCCTTTACCAAAATTGTGAAATTTTCGTCCAAGGCTGAGGGTCCAAGGTGGGCTAGGTTGATCCACAGGTACTTGTGGACAGGACCCTGCTTCCACGATGCAACACCCCCCACCTCTAAAGAGTTTTACATAAGTTTTTCTTTATATAATCTTCCTTATACATGTATTTTTTTTTATCTCTTACCACTTCATCTACATGTTACTGATCAATTACGAGGCAGATGCAAATTCTAGTTAGATTCGTGACCCCTATATATATATATATATATATATATATATATATATATATATATATATATATATATATATATATATATATATATATATATATATATATATATATATATATAAAGTGATATAAGGGTAATGAATGTTATTAGAAATTGAATATGGGTCATATTTTTAATGTGATTTTTGAACAGGACCATGTAGATAAAGTGGTAAGAGATATAAATAAAGAAAATTACATAAAAAATATTTTAAGAAATCATTAAAGGGAGGAGGGGATTCGTAGAAGCAGGGTCCTGTCCACAAGTACCTGTGACCTAAGTTTAAAACCTTACATTTATATTTCCAACTACCTCTGTGATAATTAGACTGGTGTGTTGAATTCTCGATATTTACAACTGAATGTATATTTTGCCAAGTGTAAGGTGTAAGTGCCTAATATGCGTATCAATTTCCCGCAGCTGTCAATGTGTCTGAAGTCAGTGGGCAGGGAATGTGGAAATTAACATGGAATGCCTCGTGTATTTCATATCTATTGACAGAAAATATAGCATTTGCATTTGACATTGCCATAACTTTTTTTTTTTAAATTTTTACATTATTATTTCACATATAAGC